TTGGAACTTTCCTCTTGATCCCATCCTGAGCCATCCATGATGCCACAAGGTGACTAGAAAGTCTCCACTTCAAGATAGTGTGCTGTTGGGGCCACTTCTCATTTTTGGGGCTATTCTCTTGATCCCACCTTGTTGTGCCGTCCATGATGTTGAAGGGTGACTAGGAAGTCCAGGAAACCTTTTTTTTTAACTGCACCGGCTAAAGTTTGGAGTTGGAGTTGGAGTTCACTGGCAGGGAGGACAGAGCAGCACCACATGCTCCGCAGACACTAAGGTCAGATCAATTTTGATTATACTTTTGTTCCTGATGATCCAGTAGTGCACAGCACCAAGTTGAACCACTATTCAAGTCTTACTACTCGTAACAACAGTTTTTAATTTTATATTTGAAATACCACTTAACTAAATCATAATGGGAGTCCAGTCATTCTGTGAACCGGAAATATAGGCCTATATAGAAGGGGATTATCTTGAGATATCTACATTTTTTGTTCTGCTTAAGCATTTAACTTATACAACACTGAGGAAGTGATTTAATCATTTTTCTGCACAGTAAGGTGTTACTGAAGGTATAATTGAAATTGTGTGTCACATGAACCTGCTTCAAACATCTAAAGAATTATATTTCTCTGGTACAGTTATTTGGTGTTTTATTAGATTTTCAAATTCTATCCTCAGTATTAAATTTTCTTAGTTTTCCTACTACTGAAAACTGAGTGGCGCCTGGCAAAAGGTCCCTAAAAATACATAGCTTCTTGAATCCACAGCCTGCTCCCAAACAACAGAGCTGCCGTGCCTATAACACAACTACACACTAGTCTTGCAATTTACTATTTATTATACAACATCCATAAAATAGCAAGAAAGCGTTATACCAGATTCCTCCACACATTACACGATGGCGATAAAATTCGCCGAATGGAATATTGTTTTCGGCTACAAAGCAATTACTTCAAGGATAGGAGTTTAAAGAAAAATATTCTCTACAGCGATGAGGCGACTATTGCCACAAATGGTGTGGTATCTTCTCAAAACTAAAGATATTGGGCTGCATTGGGTGGTGAATTGCAAAGACCAGGTATCTCGAAAAATAAATGTGTGGTGTGGCATACTCGATCAAGCAATAATAGGCCCTTATTTTTTCGTTAATAATTTAAATTGCCAATTATTTATTCATTTCCCGGAGAATAAATTTTCCGATGCTCTGGAAGTAGTGCCACTGAATTCGAGAGGAAATTCAATCTTCCAATTGGACGGTTCGCCTGTTCATAATTGTATGACATCAAGGGCATGGCTGGAAAGTAAGTTTTCCAGAAAATGGATAGGTCCAAATAGCCCTATTATGGTATGGCCACCCCGGTACTCTCATCTCACACCTACAGATTTTTTATGGGGCACATTGAAAAATAAAGTTTATAGAAGTAGGCCTACCACACGTGAAGAACTCCAGGCAAAAATAATTCAGGCATGCCAAGAAATCACACCAGGGGAACTTGGAAGAGAAGTGATGAATAATAGAAGGCGCATTGAATAATGTATTTCATTGGAGGGAGGGCTGATAGAGGGCACAGTTATTTGAGATAATAACAAAGTAATTTTATGATGTTAGTTGAAATTCGAATACATGTAGTTTTGAAAAGATAGTGCCACAATTAAGTTTTTTCCAAAATCATAATCAAAGTCATTAATAATTCAATATTTCTATAAAATTAAAAATCGTGCTTTTCTCATTGAACCGAAAAGTTTATAAACATTTCGAACACGTTTTGACATTGACTCGTTAACAACCTGTACGACTGAGTAACCTCCATTAGTAACGTACCGAGAATAACCTAAACAATAATAGTTCTTGAGAATTCAGATAATTACAGATTATGATTATTCAAGAGGCAGTTAATAGCTGATAGTGGATACTTGATAAGCGGGTAGTTGCCGTCGGTCGTGGAATCTAGGGGTTCGCACAGTCGGTCGTCGCGTTAACGAGTTAGTTAGTTCTTTGTGCATCCTACCAGACAACCCTCTCCGAAATGGCTCTATTTATATTGTAAGTACCACTTAATTGTTTTGTATCGCATTTGGATGATTCCTCTTTTATATCGATGATGTAATAAATGTATTTGTGGTTTTAACATGGTTTTTACTACTTCTCATATCTCTTAAACTATTAGTGTCTGAGTTGATATGATCTACCCTATCAGAGCTACCTTCAAAGATGATCCAGTGGCATTATCCCATCAGGAAGACCAAGATCGTGACAATAGTAAAATGCGAGCTTAATATTATGGTTGTTCCTGTTTGATCAGTATTTGCGTTCGTTTGGAAAAATCAAGATATTCAATCTATTTCAATGTTATCTTCAACTGCCCCAAATTATTAAGTGTAACTCTCCCTATATATTTGTTTCGATATGTTGTCTGTTTCCAAAATATTTTATATGAGATATGGAATAACTTTCTGGGGATATTGTAGCCAACAACTTTTTCATTCAGTGTTTGTTCTGCAGAAACGAGCGATAAGGTACTTAGGCAAGGTAGATGTTCGAGAGTCATGCAGACCACTGCTTTCAAACTTAGGAATTCTCACTCTGACAAGTGTGTTCATATTGGAAACGGTATATCTGATTCACAAAAAGTATATGGCTACCCATTCCAAAGTCCAGTTTGACCAAATCTTCTTTATTATTTGAAAGTGAAAAGATTTATAACCATATACCCACTGAACTAAGAACTATAAAAGATCGTAGTGAATTTAGAAACCTGTTGAAAGATGCCCTTATGAAAAGAGCCTACTATAATATTGGGGAATTTCACAACGAAATTCTGTTATGACAATTGTTCACATCAATTTTTAATCTGTACTGTTTATTGTCCTTTTACACTCTCAATAAGTTTATTCTCTATTCTATATTATTAATTCAGTTGTATATGTTCATGTCATGTTATAAACTTTTATTCAATTTTGAATACTATGCTTTGTCAATGAGAAATTCTTGTTTTTTAGACAATGAAGTATATTTCTCTCTCTATCTCTCTCCCAATGGGGGCCTGATTCATTAGTTAACACAATTCACTGATTTCACTGCGGTCTGACGCATTATTATCGATAACGGTATTGAAGAGCTCATTAATTCATAATTCATTTTAATGACAACCGTCGATTCAATTTGATCTTCCATTTAAGGAAGCACTCCTGAATAGAACTCAGCGCGCTTTGAAGGTTCTTAGCTGCTTGCTTGAAATCAGTTGCATTTTCAAGAAATGCGTTATCCTCCACAAAAAGCGACATCTTGCACCATGGTCATACCAAATCGATAGTAAAGAAATTACAGCAGCTTTAATAAAACTGTACCCTGAGGAACACCAGCTTCAATGGACTTAATGTCAGATTGATTTACAAGTTTTACTTGAAAATTTCGATTTTTCTCAAATTAACACATCAACTGAATGAAATGATCTGGAAGCCCATATTGATCAATTCTCTGGCAATGTTTCCGCTGAGTTATCCCCATCATTCGCTATTTCATAAATTTCTTCGTGTGCCAAACACGTTTATGATTCTTGGCGTATACTTTTCGATGGTTCAAGAAATAATCGCGGTGTTGATCTTGCGCTGAAACCTCTCATCACAATCGAATCTGCGGGAATTGGAATTGCTCTTCCTAAAGTTCAATAAATGAACAAAGTATTTTATTTTCTTATTTCATATGCCTACTGTTTAAGTGTTCATCCAGTAATCACTATTTCCTCGCCATTTATGTGCATTCATCAATTAGTGTAATTTGGGTTATTTGAAGACAATTTGGCAACCTGTAAAGTCGTCCTGTATTGCTGGTTGTATGTGCCTAGGTTTGTTCATACATTTATTATTTCTCATTTGAATTGGTGATGTCTGCCGTGCTTTTTTATTAGTATTATCTCTGTAGTCTTATCTTTTGAATCGGGTCGTTTGTGGTTCCTCGGGATTTTGATTGCTTGGAAGGATTTATTTTCTCGCTGGACTATTACAGAAAATAGACAAAGTATCGCCATTAATGAGCCTTTAATTATAAAATACCATATTAACATTTATTTGTTCTGAGAATTCACCCCAAATGTACAAGTGTCTCTTATCATCCCCACCATTCGCGATTTCATTCATTTATCACTTTTTGCTGTTTAGGATTGTTGGCGTAAACTTTTTAATAATAAATCGCGGTGTCTATCGTTATTTATTCAGTCTGAAGAATTCACCCGCACATATATAATACAAGTGTCTGTTATTATCCCCACCATACGCGATTTCATTAATTTCTCCGTGTTTGGGCGTTTAGGATTGTTGTCTGATACTTCTCGATGATTCAAGAATTAATCGCGGTGTCAATATATTGCTATTCAGTCTGAGTATTCACCCCAAATGTACAAGTGTCTCTTATTATCCCCCACCATCGCTGTGTCAATCTCTTGTTATTTACTCTGAGCAGTCACCCGCAAATGTACAAGTGGCGCCGCGATACATTGGGACGACATCGCCGGCTTGTCATTCGCCAAATCGGCCATCCAGGAGGCTGAAGTATGGCCGATGATAAGGCCGGACTTATTCACCAATTGCAAGTTCAACCAATTGTGTATTCGCTGGATTCAATTTGATTTTCCATCGAAGGAAGCACTCCTGAATAGAATTTAGCGCGCTTTGAAGGTTCAAAGCTGCTTGCTCAACAAAATTAGTTGAATATGCAAGAACTGCTGCATCATCAGCAAAAAGCGACATTTTGCAAATCACTGGCCATGGCAATCGCTAGTAAAAAGACTGTACAACATCGGTGATAAAACTGTACCCTGAGGAATATTGATCGATTCTCTGTTAGCATCCCCACCATTCAAGATTTCACTCATTCATCCGTGTTTGACGTTCAGGATTGTTGTCGTACACTTTTCCATGATTCATGAATGAATCGCCGTGTCTCTCCATTGTTATTCAGTCAGAGATCCGGATAGTAGTTCATGTCAGTGGTTCCGTTCCAGTAATGAAGACCTGAAGACCGATGACTGGCCGTCCTCCGAAGTAATCGACGACCGACTGAAGAACATCGATCCGAAGATGGTCGAGCTCATCCGATCGGAGATAATGGACAGCGGCGCCGCGTTGCATTGGGACGACATCGCCGGCTTGTCGTTCGCCAAATCGGCCATCCAGGAGGCCGTGGTGTGGCCGATGCTCAGGCCGGACATATTCACGGGGCTCAGACGGCCGCCGAAGGGGATCCTGCTGTTCGGACCGCCCGGGACAGGGAAGACTCTGATTGGTACGTGTGGCTTTTTGATCCTTCCGGGAATTACGATTCGAGTTCAAGCAGATTCGTTTTCAAAAAACTTTATCTCAACGAACTAGTGAATCTATGCAGTTGGAATGAGACTAATTTTTTGATGAATAAGAAAATCATTGTGGAAATATCTAATACTATGCGTCCGTCCCTTCAATTTCTGTCGTGACGAGTGTAGTTCATTATTGTTCACACGAAAATTTCAGGCAAGATGAGCCATTTGGGGAAATTTCGTCTGAAGAAATAAAAATTCAATTCTGCAAACTAACTACAATAAACACGTAATCGTCAATGAAGTCAATTATCATTGTTGTTCATTTATATTTTGTCGTTGATTCATCTTGCCTAAAACATTTTGTTTTATTGTATGAATTATTTTACTTACTAACTGAAGACATTCCAATCAGTATTTTCATTTGCAAAACTGATATAATTTCCTCCTCTGAATGGGCTTCTTATACAGAATATTTGCAATTTCGAATATTTAATTTCAGGAAAATGCGTAGCCTCACAAAGCAAATCGACTTTCTTCAGTATAAGTGCCTCTTCTCTGACATCCAAATGGGTCGGCGATGGAGAAAAGATGGTTAGAGCCTTGTTTACGGTGGCACGAGTGCATCAACCGGCAGTAAGTACTTGACCATAACGACCATAACAAAAGATTCATTTCAAGTCGTGAAAACTATTCATCCTAATTCTCAGTCGTGTAGTATTTTCAAAGAAAATCTAACGAATTCAAGATCGACAATGACCATGACAAGGTATTGAACATATTTTTTGGTCGGCAGACTTTTTTCTTTAATGATGATAGGTTTTGTTGAAAACGTTCTCGGACATTTTGGAGCATGTCTGGGGTGATTTGGCGACATTCATCTGTGATTCGTTGGCGTAAATCTGCTAGTGAAGCTGGTGGTGTACTATAAATTCTGCTTTTCAAATGACCCCACAGAAAGAAATCTAAGGGAGACAGGTCTGGTGATCGTGGGGGCCATTCAATAAAACCTCGCCTACCAATCCAATGACCAGGGAAGTGTTGATCTAAATATTGCCGAACAGGCATAGCATAATGCGGAGGAGCATCATCTTGTTGAAATATCAACTTATTTTCCAGATAATGATACATTTTCCCTGTCAGATTGCCTTCTAAGAAGAAAGGGCCTACGATACGATCCCCAAAAATACCAGCCCATACGTTTAATTTTTGGGGATATTGCGTATGTACCTCATGAAATATATGGGGATTAGAATCAGCCCAATATCGACAATTATGGCGATCAACTATGCCATTTAAGAAAAACGAACATTCGTCATTAAAACAGATGTTGAACAGACACTGAGAATTTGCAATCGCCTGCTCACTTAATATTTCACAGAATTGTAAACGTCGATCAAAATCATTTTCATTCAGTTCTTGTGTTAATTTTGTTTTGTAAGAATGGAATTTATGTAGTTTTTGAATACGCTGAATGCTAGTTCTTGAGATACCGGAAACAGTTGCTAGCTGTCTTGTACTCAACGTATGGTCAACCTCAACATGGCCCAAAATTGCCACTGTTGTCGCCTCATCTCTTACTGGCGGTTCGATTTGCCGTTTTTCATTTGCTACCAATCCCGTTTCTCGGAATTTTGATACTAATTCAGACACATAGTGCCGCGACACAGTCCTACCATATTGTTGATTGAACCGTTCAGCAGCCCTTTTCGCAGATCTACTGTTTACATAATACAGTTGTAGTACACATGTGAAACACAGAAAGTGCATCGTTGCAAATAAATGATAGATTACAAAAAAATCCGAATGAGTGTTTCAGAGACGTACAAGTAAGATCTTAACTATCGTACAGGTTTATTCCTGAATTTATTTTTTCCCAAACGGTTCATCCCAACTTCAAAATCGGGACGCCGTTGGATAGAGAACTTAACCGGCTTTCAAAGGATGTGCCACTCCGCCATTATCCCTATTCAAATTTTAGGGGTTGTTCACCCCACAGCTCGAGTGTTGCAGTGACGGCAGTGCAAGTAGGAGAAAAAAATGTAACCCTCGAAACTGAAATCGACCTGTCCGAGAGTTTTTCCACATCTGCAATATCATTACCAAAAACCCCGATGTCTAGTTTTTGATGGGCGATCCTGTATAGACCCTTTCCTTGTAATTTCACAAGCTCTTTGACAACTAATCATAATACACTGTCAACTAGGAAAAAGCCAAATACTCAAAGTGGAATTGCAATGGTTACAAATAGAGACAATCTCAAAGTCATGAGAAAAACAACTACTTTCCTGGCCATATGCCACGTAGAACATTGGATTACATCCTACCAAAATCTTTCTTTCTTTTTCTTTATTTCAGTTTATTTCAGTTATTGCATTACATTCCCTTCTTCATTGATACATTTCATACAAATAATATATAAAGTATAATTAAGTTTCTAGTAGGAATGACATGAATGATCAGACAGTAATTCCTGGTATAAGATCATTCATGAAGTATTATCGACTGTTGTATAATTGAAATTACAAATAGTGAACAAAACTCACAGATCATTAAGATATCTCAAAATAACGGTCATATTATAGTGAACAAGAAGGGGAAAAATAAAAAAATAAAAACAGTGAAAAAACAAGGAAATTCATGGCCTTTCAGCTCTGATCATTCCTTTGCATATAAATATATTTTTTCGCTTTATTTTTGAATTGCATAATATTTGGGCTGTTTTCGATATCATCTGGTAATTTATTGAATTTCGAAAAGTAGTACAGCTATGCCGGTTGACGCGCAGTGCCGCCGCAAAAGCTCACCAGATGGCGCAGTGTCGCTGCGAATGTTCGCTGTATTACGGGCGGCGGCAAATTCAAATACTGGATGGTTTGTATTTATAATATTTCTCGTGACGTAATTTTGTTTCAATCTAAATTTGGAATTAAACAAAAAAAAGCTGTTGTTTGCGGGGATTCGATCCCCGGCCAACGGACTGAGAGCCCGATAAAAAATTTGAATTCATTGATTCGTTGACACAGTTTTTACAATACAACACATATTACATCAACATATTTGTGTATAATGGGCTCGACATATCTGTGAGTGTGACTGAACGTCCCTCCGCTGTCGCAGAGGTGGCTGGTGTTAGCCAAGGAATATGAGAGGATATGTGAGGTGTTCGTCGCAGTGACCTATCTCCTACGGCTAGGCCCTTTATACAGGTAATCTCGCTGGTAGTACCCATAGCACAGATTAACAAACCTTACAGATAGGACAGTCAGACAAGGCGCACAAAATTAGAGAGAGATGACAAAAGCGCAAAGTTTGAAGGGACAGTCTCACTACTGCGCAAGCGTCGGGATTTTCGGCATTTTTTCCACATTCCAGCACGACTAGCACGAGGCCGACGGCCTCGATACCAGCACTGCAACTGATAGAAGCGTTTGATTATTGTGCATTTTATTTGCTCATCAGTTTCAAAATCGATAATTTGTTTGTTAATGTCCGAAATTTATAGACAAGGAGGGAATAAATTCTATATTCAGGTAAGGTACTCAGTTAAAATGTTGTTTTAATAGCATGTGTTCCAGTCAACTTTAATCGTTAAAATAATGCCATCTAATTACTTGTAGGTACCTCAATAAAAGGAATTCAGAAAATGGAATCACTTCTATATCAGTCTCGAGCAAGTAGTGCAAAGATCTGTGAATAGTGATAGTGATAGATAGATAGATAAGCTTTATTGTCTAAAATGAGCACATTTTGTCGACAAAGTCAGTATCTTGCGATATATCGATTGCAAGATTATAAATAAATACAACAGAACAGGAATATATAAAAATAATACAGAACAAAAATATATAAAATAAAATAACATAGACAAGTTTCATTATTATCACAAACAACAATTATCTTTAAAATCAATGATATGAATCTCTAATTATTCTCACATATCATAGAAAGACTAGAATTTGTAGGCAAAGTATTCATCCAAACTGTACAAGCCTTTTCCCACTAACATATCTTTGACAGATCTACGGAATTGTTTCAAATCATTGATCATAGCTGTACATTCTGGTAAATGATTGTAAATCTTTTTACTCCTATAAATTAAGGATTGTCTCGTTAAAGATGAACTAGGCAGAGGAAGAGCAAGGTTCCTTTTATTACGCGTAATCTTGTCTATGTTTGTGTTCATGAAATTTCTTCTATATTTGTGAAGCAAACAGACTGTTTCTAAAACGAAAATTTCAAAGACCGTCAATATCTTATATTTGTGAAACATTGGCCTGCATGAGTCACGCGGCTTGAGTTTGAATACAAATCTCAGAGCTCGTTTTTGAAGGACGAAAACACTATTTAAGAGACCATGACAGCTACACCCCCAGAATGAAATTCCATACCGTAGATGCGATTCAATAAGTGAGTAGTATGCTGATATTGAAGCTTGCAATCCAAGTTCACGGGATATCACATTGACTGCGAAGCAGCCAGCTGATATTTTTTTCTTAAGAGCTGATATATGATGGTCAAACTTCAAATTGTTATCTATGTGAACACCAAGAAATTTCGTGACAGACTTGCTCTCAATGAGTTGATCTCCTAGAGCAATTTGTTCAATTTCTGACTTAAATGTCACTAAGTTTGTTTTAGAAACATTCAGAGTTAGCATATTAGCTTCACACCAAATTTTAATTTTTTCAACGTCCACTGAAATTGACTGAGCCAGACTAGCTCGATCTTCGTTATGCCAGAGAATCGTGGTATCATCTGCAAATAAAGTTAGGTGTCCAGAAATATCTAGACTGACCATATCGTTGATATAAATCAAGAAGAGAATCGGACCAAGAACTGACCCCTGAGGGACCCCCCGTATAATATTACCTTTATCCGAAGTCTTTTTTAACAATGATACTCTTTGATTCCTATCAGTGAGATAAGATCTGAACCAGTTTAGAGCTGTACCACGAATACCGTAATGAAAAAGCTTCTGCAACAGAATTTCATGACTCACACAGTCAAATGCCTTAGAAAGGTCAAGAAACACTGCTGCAGCCGCCTCTTTTTCATTCAAGCTCAAGTATACTCTCTCGAGAAAATTGAAAATAGCATCATTGGTGTTTTTTTTATTTTGAAAACCAAACTGTTCCTGCGCTAGTATATTATGTTGCTCTAGGAAGCCAAGCATTCTCCGTTTCACCAATTTTTCAATAATTTTGGAAAGAGTTGAGAGCATGGAAATTGGTCTGAAGTTGTTAGGATCGTCAATAGCACCTCCTTTATGCAGGGGTAACACAATTGCAGACTTTAAGCTAGTAGGAAAGATTCCTGTAGCAAACGAATTATTTATAGCTAATACCAAGGCGCTCAGAGCTTCCTCTGGCAATTGAGAAATCAACTTCGCTGACAAATTGTCTTCACCTGACGAAGATTTATTTTTTATTTCGCTGATTACTAACTTAAGTTCCTTTAAATCTGTATCATACAGTAAAAGAGACTCCATCGGAGATAGCATTTTCCTCGTATATACAAGAGGATTTTCTATTGGAAAGATATCTCGTGTTAATTGATCAGCTATTGAACAGTAATAATCGTTCAGCAGATTGAGGTCTACATTTGTTTGTGAATTTATGCGGGTATTTTTGGCTCTAAGATATATAAGATATATATCTTTTGCTAATTTGATTGTCTTTTTGTAAACACGACGGTACGTATTGAAATATGACATGAAGAAAATGTTTTCGGTATGGAATTTTCTAATGGTGTGCAAGCACCGAAGATTATTTGATGCGGTTTTTATTCCTTTCGTGATCCAGGGTTTACATTTCTTCTTCTTCTTCAGCAATCGCAGTGGAAAAGCTTTGTTAAATAAGCTGATGACAACTTCTTGAAACGCATTTATGGGATCTACCGCCAGAAAAATCATGGTCCAATCAGTAATTTGACAAATAGACCGGAATTTCTCATAATTACCTTTACTAAAGATCCGTCCATATTCCTTTTCCTTGGAAAAAGTTCCATGTTTGAGACTGTTAGGAATAAGGCAAGTAACAGCTTCATGATCAGATAGCCCCGCATTGATCACTGAAGTTGATACGCTTTCAACGTTGGTGCATATATAATCTATAACAGTGGCTGAGGATTTCGAGATCCGTGTGGGTTTTTCCACGTGCATATTCAGATTGAAACAATCTAGCAGGTTAATTAACATTTGGGTTTCAGTTGAAGCTTTGTTTGCGTAATTAATATTAAAATCACCAGCTACAATTAATGAACTAAGAGGGGAAAATTGAGATAACAAATACTCTAGTCTTCCTATGAATAGTTTACAATCTGTAGAGGGAGGTCTATAAATGCATAAGATATAAATATTATTTATTTTTGAGTGGATTAACGAAAATTCGAACTCTTTTTCCACAATCAAATTGTCAAATTTACTGTTGTTTACAAATGATAGTGCTTTCGAAGACTCTTTCTTGATCAATATTATTGTACCACCATGTAGTGAACTTTTTCTACAGTATTTCGAAATTATATAATATCCAGGAATGTGAACTGGTTCGTCAGTATTCAGCCAGTGCTCCGTTAATAGTACAATATTTGGATGATTTTGCTGCCTCAAAAAAATATTTAGTTCATCTACTTTATTACGAACCGACTGAATATTCAGCAATAACATTGACATATCACTTATTTGTTCTTTTGATCTAAAAAAGAAAAAGAATTTGGTTCGCTATCGCCAGAGGGGCCTGCAGTCAAACTGGGAGAATACGTTGTCTTATTTAATGTGGTCTCTATCATTGCGTTCTCAATTTCCTCAGCTATGTTATCTTCAGTCTTGCTTTCTTTTCTTTCTACCACTTCTAAAATACGTTCATTGCTTGTCTGTGTTCCAATTGTAATCACTTTCACAAGAGATTTTCTTTCTGATTTAGACTGCTGATTGTTGACTACAAATTTTCTAATTGCTTTACATAAATGCCATTTAGATTTTTTATTCAGACTGCAACCATTAGCACAGTAATTTGTTCTGCGAAAAATATTGTTGCATTCTAAGATTCTCACGAATCCCGAAAAATCTTTATGTACCATCTTGGCTAGGTGTAGGTTATTTTCGTAAATTGACTTATTTATATAATCGAGGTCATTTATATAATCGAAATCATAGCGATACGGTTCTGTGATGATCAGGACATTTGTGTGGTTCATTTGGGAAAGGATCCTCGTGTTGGGATACTCATAAGTATTTTGTAGCCATAGTATGACCAAGTCGTTTTTCGAAAATTTTTTGGAGTTTTCTAGAGCTGTCTGCAGTAGTACATAAGCACCCGCGTTTGGTTTCAGAACAGAGTGAACCTTGAATGAATTTCCTATCTGTGTTTTAATCATTTGGGCTACACCTCTTCCATGATTTCCTGATACAAATAATATTTCCTTATCAAAACTACCGTTTTCTTCTTCATCCTTCTCTTCCTTCGAACACACAAGTGGTATTGAAGCGATTCTTTTTTCAGGTGAGGAAAGATTGTTTACTTTGACTACAGGGTGAGTGTGATTCACTTTGTTTCTGAGATCATAGTTTTCCTTTTTCATCTTCTTCAACTCATTGCCATAGAGGTCGTTGTCTATTGTAAGTACTTCAATTGAAGTCAGCATGTTTCTTCTGATTGCAGTTAGTTCTACAATGTTATTCTCTAATATAGCATTTTTTGATTCTAGTTCCTTCAATTTATCATTGAATTCTTCATTTTCCCGTCCCAAGCGTATTATTTCCTTGTTCAGATCCATAATTGTTTGCTTATTCCTATTAGAATCTGTAAGAAAGCTTTGTTCACTTTCATATACCTCGTCCTCAAAATCTTGTGTTCTCCTTCTGAGTCGTTCAATGTGTTCATCCTTGTCTGAATTGTCTCTTTTCAACTCTTCAATCTTGCTTTGGAACTTGGTTTCCATGTCTTCAAGTTCATGCTCTTTGATTTCCAGTGCATTTTTCAGTCTTACGATTTCTTTCTTAAATTTCTGTAATTGTTCATCTGCATTAGCACAGCACGAATTCACTACCAAAGTAGACTTCGTATCTTTCAATACATTACTCGGGCGATTTTGAGAGCGGGTATGCCTCTGCGACATGTTTGTATAATTGATAGTGATAAATTTCAGGTATTGGCAACCCCGCCTCGACAAATTGATGCGGGGAGTGAAGCCGATTCACTTTAGGGTTATAAATTAATCGAGAACATTCAAACTACAGCAGGAAAATCACTGTACTAATTTCGTAAGATCTTGAACTAACCTTCAGTGTGTCAGTGGTGCACTCACGTCAAATTAAATTTGTGAATTTAACTCTATTTTCATATTGTTTACAGCTGATAGATTGCACACAGTTGCCAGATTCGGTTGCGCAAATATATATATATATGGATTGAGTTATGATCGAAGTTGAGATTGTATTTTGAGTTGTGCTTGTTGCTGTTTCTTGTTCAACTTCAAACAGTATAATGAGTGAGCAGAAAGTGAAATATGCAGCAGTTCCTAGTGGAAGACACAGTTGTGTATATATAAACTGCAAGAACACCTCAAATATTTCAGAGAACATTAAGTTACATGGTTTTCCAAAGGATGAAACATCATACCAAACTGCTCTTTTCCAAAAAGTTATAAACAATTGATCAGGTACCTACTTCACTCTCTTTTGTTCAAGTAGAGTGTCATGATTCAGACAATGATTATTTTTCAAAACACTAATATTCTAATTCACTCCTAGAACACAAGACAATTAATTCAGTCATTATGTACGTACACTGTTCATGTACAGGGTTATCCATCAAAAAGGAACACCCCTATATTAAAGTATTTTCATCAAGAAAAAAAACAATATGCGGAAGTTGGGTGCCCATCAATGAGGCCTTTCGACATTTGACACATTTAATGTTGAATAAAATGTATTAATATGCATTGACCTAGATTTATTTTTATGAACATCCTAATTCCAAAATTGTGATGTTTTTATTTTGTATGCGTGAAAACGCTGTTGAAATTTATTGTATTTACAATAAAAAAAATTCAGATAGTCTTTCTGTTATTTACTTTTATTTTATACCAGTGAAAATGAATGAATGAATAAAGCTCACTCCTGTCAAGTCTCCAATGTGTTCAATTAATCCCTCTCAAATATTTCTTACATATTTTATTATTTCACGCATTTTGTAAAATAAACTTGAGAATCAAATATATATGATGTTGAATATTTCCAATGAATTGATTCATATTGTGGAAAAATATTTATTAACTAATTAAAAGGCACTATCTGCATATTATATTAGTTCAAAATTCATTCCCCACAATAATTTCATTCTGAAGTAACAATTTTACAGTTCCTAATATCAATTATTTTGTGCAGATCAAAGTCAGGTAATATTAAATCTGCCTGAGCCAATCAATAAATATATACATTTGAACCACTTCATGATATCAATTCAATGTAAGCTTTAGGAATTTCTCATGAAGTAAATCCCTGATATCAAGATATTCGTTGATATGGCAATGTTGTATCACGAATAATTCTGTGACTTCAACCTGAACTTTTGAGAAACGGCAACCGTGACGCACAAAGTTTAAAGGGACGAGGTCACGAAACACATGTGTCGGTACATCAAACAAAAGGGGCGGAGTGTCTCATCTGTAAGGTTTGTTAATCTGTGCCCATAGGGTGGGGGAGCTGCTCCTGCGCAGAATGGAAAGGGTTGCTAAGTCGTTGGAGGAAAAATAAGAGAGCCCGATACGCTAACATAAGCGCTATACCACTAGACAGAGTTTGGTACGAGTTGAAAGTGTAATACGCAGAGCGACGACATTCACGCCGACCGGCAGAACGCCAGCAGCAGCAAGCGATAGATGCGACAGTGCAGGGTTGCCGGACGTTGCGCGCGGTGCGCTACATCGTTGTCGGACGTTCGAAAAAATCGGACGTTGCTCCGTTTTCACACATCAGAACCTTGTTAGGAGAAAAAATGACGTATGGCAGATGGCATTTGAGATATAATGTATGGAGTGCAAGAATGATAAAAAACAATAGAATATCGAATCAATTTATTTTATAGTAATGCTTTTCTACAGAAATGGCAAGTTTCTTGAGAAGATGGTGGTCCATCCCAGTGTGTAGTCCAATCGGGACGATTATAATGAACAAAGCATGGCAGCTTAAAGTTGCAGCGATATTCATTGGGAAGTTTGTGCCACACCCTTAATAACCCACAAGAATCTGCATATTCAATGAGACATTCTACGGGAATGTACTGCAATTCTTGTTCGGTGAATTTCGTCAGAGTCAAAGCGGGAGATTTTAGGAACTCCAAGAGCACAGCTACTTCAGACTTCATTTTTTTCAATTCGAGCAAAGTTAAAAAAATTTAGATGCTTCTAGTTTCACGTCAATTGGTAGACTGATGAAATAAATATGATACTTTCTGTGCTCTAGACCTCACCGAATGCCAAGCGCTCTTTGTTATAAAAATACGAGAAAATACGAAACGGATTGTCCAAAGAATCGGATTTTGAAAACAAACGGATAGGTATAAATCTTTGAACATCAATAGTTGAGGCGCTATTTCAACTAAGCCTTCATCAATGATGGGAGCTTCGTATGAATATGATTGTCCTAAAACGTTGAAAAGTTATTGCTGCAGAAAAAAGTGTTTCATCATATATGATCACAATGACGTAGTTGATGGAATAGCATGCAGAAAATGCAGACATTTCAGTTACTGCGTCTGCGCATGTGAATCGAGATGCAAAAATGGGATAGTTGAATGTTTTGTGACAGTTTTCAGATGTTTGCGACAGAGTTCAAACGTCAGTTGGAGGAATTCCAGATGAAAATAAAAGAACTTGACGTAGCAATAAAACGTTTCGAAGATAAACAGCTGATGATTCGTAATTTCTCGAAAATTACTCTATTGGAAGACGTTATTAGTACTAGAAGTTTACCTTTATCAACTGCAACGAAAAAAATATGGCTATTTTGAGAGCATCATTTGTATTGCTGTTTTCAATGATGGGAGACATTCTGTATATGAATGTACCGAGCAAGGTTAGCGAAGCAGGAATTTGTTTCAATAATGAGCCGTGCCAGTGGATTGCTATTTGAAAAGAATTCATCAATGACGGGCAAATGGAAGTGTTTTCAATGCAAGTACCAGAGAACGAGACGAAATATAAAATCAGATTGATTTTCAACGATAGGACCTTTGGCGACTCATATCAATGGCAGATTTTTGGATTCTCATCACCAATACCAACATTAGCACCACCAGCGGACTATGGAAAATTCTTTGCTATGTTGAATATTTTCTCATTTATCAATTTAGCATTACTAGTTGGAATAATATTGATTAAAATTATACAGATTTTCTGTAGGAAATAGATAGAAACATGTTCAATCTTGTTTGTGTATTGTTGATTTAAAAATCTACTGATTAGCTTGGAAGCGCCTTGCACATGTGGTCATATGTTTATTTCGTTCGCAAGATTGTGCAAGAATTTAATGGGTTTTTCTGACATGAGAAAATATTATGAGTCTACGTATCGCAGTTATATTTCCATGAAGACGCCACATGTTTACGATCTCTATGCCCTTGCTTTCTAATTATAATACAGCGGGGAATTTTTTTCCAACAGTTCCGATAGCCTCGATAGCTTCCAGCACATGTGGCAAGATGTTTATTATTCCGTTCGGCCATTAGCGACGATATCTTGAGATTGCTAATCAGTTTTAATATGCGCATTTATATTCCACTTGATAACATACCACATATCCGCTCTCTCTATACCCACGCATTCACGACGATAAAAAAAAGAAACTGCGAGGCGCGCAGCATTCTAATTAACATGCAAATGCATGTCCACTCTCTCTCTATACCCACGCTCTCTGATTATAAAACTGCCTGACGCGCAGCAACAGCATTCAGTTCATCAGTGAGCGCAGTCAGCCAAGTCAGCCAACATTACACAATATAAATAAGCTTGTTCGTTTACACCACCGAAAATAGTAAGTACTTTTTTATATTAAAGTGTTCATTAATACTCTGAATCCTATGTATATTATAGACCTTTTTCAATTTGTATTCGCAATTTTTTTTATCGCTTGGAGCGCACGAAAGGGAATCCCTATAATGTTCAAAGAACATCGTGCGTTCCTAGGGAGGATAGGGACAGGAGGTAGGTATTGGAATTTTTTTTGAACTTTTGGAGATTATATGTTGTTGGGAATACTTCCACAGGCAATGAATTCCAGAGCCTAGCCGTTCTATGGATGAAGGAGTCTTGATAAAGTGCTGTTCGACATCTTTCGAGGTTGACAACGAAAGGATGTGCTGACTGGGCTTGTCTAGTTTGTCTGATTGGTATTGCTAGTGAGGGGATGATAGCAGAGATTTCCGAAGAAAATTTCCCGTGGAAGTGTCGGTAGATAAGTGAAAGGTCGCCGACCTTTCTACGGTGTTCCAATGATGTCAATCCATTTCGAGGGTTTGGAAATAATTTCACAATTTTGCGTATATTATAGGCCTTTTGTCATTCCATTTTAAGATTTTGAAAATAATTCCACAATTTGACAAAGTGTTCATTTATACTCTGAATCCTACGTATATTATAGACCTTTTTGAATTTGTATTCTCAATTCCACGTATATAGCTGCCTTTTTCAGTCAATTTCGAGTTTTTGCAAATGTTATAGACCTTTTGTCAATCCATTTCGAGGTTTTGGAAATAATTTCACATTTCTGCGTATATTATGGGCCTTTTGTCATTCCATTTTGAGTTTTTGAGAATAATTCCACAATTTGACATCTCATTTTGAGTTTTTGAAATGAAGAAAAATAGTTATTTATCATACAAGGGAAAAAAGTAGTAGATTTCAGCTCCAGGTTATCTAATCTAATATTTTTCCCTTGTATAATACACAATTTTTTTCTGTGATAGAAGAAAGGACGAATCAATATTGAGAAGATATTACATTATTTTGAAATCTGAAAATAATCGACGTGAAATTTTAAGTTTTCAACAGTAGGGACACCTGCGTTGTAGGCATCTTCATCATTCTTTTGAAGTAATCAAATATCTGATGTCACTTCT